TGTTTATTCCTACAAATGGCTTCATTGTGTTCCCTCTGACATACTTTATAATCTCTATGCCTTGTCTGTGCAGAAATTTGAGAAAGGCGAGCACGAAAGAGGCCAAATGAATCTTCAATTTTTCTATTAACTACATGCTTGCACACAAAATCCTTCTTTCTGATCTTAGACTTGAGAAACAACTGCTATAGGTTTATAAGCATGTTTTAGTCATCTGACAACTTGAAGTGATGGGCAGGGAAGTGCAGCCACACCCAGCATTGGTTCTTGTTGGGCTGTTGAAGCAGATGATCTGAGGACAACCAGTTTGTACTCATTTTTTCCACAATGGAAGCAGTGGACATAGTGACTGCTTTGGGTGTGGTCCTTTTGGACTCCTTCCTGGGACTGCCACCTGCCACATTTGAAATAAGAAACAGTGATGTTGCTAACTACTTGATCACTGTATTTTGCATGTCAGTATTTCAAATATCCCACATAATTGGGTACATCTAGTCCTCTTTATTATTTCTATTTCCCTCATTTCTAGCACATGTTATAGCCAATCTATGGGTGTGGTGAATTAGAGTCAGGATCATTCTCACTTAGTCCTGAAGATTCTAACCTGTCTTGGATATTTGAACTATTACTATCAAAAATTCACAAGAAAGAAAATGATAAAGATGAGAAGATAAAGGGGTTAAAAGCCAGTTTCTATGATTTTTTTTTAATCTTTATGTTAGGCAGGTTTCCTAACTTCTCTGTTCTTTAGTTTCATTATCTTTACAATGAGGATGATGTGAATACCTACTTCATAGGGTTAGTATGAAGACTAAGTTAGTTCATGTGTGTAAAACATCTGATGCCATGAATATTCTCAGTTCTTTATAATGGTTTGCGTATATGTTAATGTCACTTCTCCCAAGTTCCAAAGATGATGATGGCATTTAAAAAATCTCCTTCTTCTCCATCTCCTCCTTTTTCCCATCCTCTTCCTTCTTCTATTACTTCTAGTACCGATTGGGAGGTGTGGATTTAGACAATTGTGTGGTCATTTCTCTAGGACTTTTTTTTTTTTTTAAATCAATCTGCATATATTAGCAGAATATTATGATTTGGCCACCAAAATCCTCAAGGAAAATGCTCCAAAAACCAAAATTAATACTGTGGGAGAACCTAATATCTTTGTCTATCTATACATGGCAATATGCTTACATCAAGAAAACATTAATGCATATATGTATACATATATTATTAAATATTGTCAAAAGTCAAACAGAGTAAACATTTAAAATCAATTGAATAATGTATCATATAATAAATATTTTAAAAGCCTTTTGAAAATATGAATGTGCTTTATGTTTTATGCATATAATGGCTTGTGTAGCCACTAAACATATGTGTAAGGATACTTTACTAATAAAGAACATTATCACAGACCATATGTAAAGTTAATAAAGTGGGATAAAATGTTTTGAATACATACTAGATGACCCCAATTTTGTAAAGGACATATAGTGTGTGTGTGTGTGTGTGTGTAGGGGGGGTGGATGTGTATATATATATTTTCAATAAAAAAGGATTGGAAGGAAATGTGCTCAAATATTAACAGTGATTATCTCTTAATTATTTTTTCTCTTCACATGTTTTATATGCAAAAATGTAATATTTTTCTAATTGGAAAATAAAAGTAAGCCTCATCAAAATTATGCATTTCTGATCATGCCAAATCAATTATAGTTTAGACACAACATATCATATTGTTATGCAAAGTAAATTAAAAAACAAACAAAAAGCTCAATGGATGTTAAAACTGTCTATATTAGCCAATCCAGAAAACAATTAATGCCTAAAACGAATTTTCAGAAGGTGATATTCATTGACCCAGCTATACCATTTCTTGCAATGTATAACCAGAAAATTATTCAAAGGAATTACTCTTAACTGTTGATATGTACAGATTTCTTTACAAAACTTATGCAATTTTTAGTTATAGACTTTTCCTTTTCACCAAAAAATATACATACTATCCTTTACACAAGCATTACTTACAATTTCAAATGTTTATAGACCCTGTAAAACTTGCTCACGGATCTGCAGTTTCCTTCCAAATGAAAGAAAAAGTAACACGTATTATAATATGAATTGCAGAATTACTTATGGTAATGAATGAATGGAAGCAATTTGAGTGTCAAATAATAATAGAATGTCTAAGTAAGAATTACTATAAAAACAAGCTAAAATTTATGTGCTCTTAAATGTTTATGAAGACTATATATTGCCATTGGACAGTATGGCATATTATTTTTTGAAATTACAATACAACATAGTTGGAAAATAATGCTGTAAAAATATGGACATATGTGGAAATAGGAGGAAAATATACAAGGACACAACTCATTAGGGTCTTGGCGTAGGTGAATTAATGGCTGATTTAAAAAATTTTTTTAACTTTCAGTAACATTAATTTTAAAATAATAAGATAAAAAAAGTAAATGATTAGTTAAATCTAACTATCTCTTTTGGAAATGTTCATGACATCAAGTTCCTGTCTCTTCTTCATCAAAGAAAAGGCTCATAGGAATCTTACTCATCTTATTTTTTTTAAGTTGGAATCTGCTGGATAAGCTTCCTCTTTTTTTCTTAAACAAAAGAATCCCCCATTTCTCAAATGGTATGCTTTTCATCTATTTAGGCTATTTGGTTTTCATCTATTTAGGGTATTAGTCTTCCAAGGAAGACTGCAATTCCTCTTATCTGTGTCATACATTGAAATTTTAAAAATATATTTGCATCTGCCCCCATGTCTGATCCAATAGTTGCCTCTGTGTTTAGCTTAAAAGATGGGAGCAATCAGTGAAAATTTTCAGTGAGAAAATAAAAACAGGTTAAAATGTAATCATTTCCTTTTATAAATCTGTATTTTGTTATCTTAAACACAGATTTTTATAAATTTTGTGTCAAGTTAGAACATTTGGCAAAAGTAGACATTTTATTATATTTAAATGTTTGATCTTGATATCCATAATTAATGTCCAATAGGTAATTCTTTGAAACAAAATGAAGTATTGTTAATAGAAAAAAGCATCTAATTTACAGAGAAGAGATATGAAACAAAAAACGACTTTATTGAGCACAACCATTTGCCTAATATTCCCTTACATCATTTTTAGCCTAAGATTTTATTTCATTTTTAATAAGTTAATATTTTACTTAAAGCTTTTACACACATTGTTATTGGTTAATTTCTGTTTCATTGTTTAACGAATGATCATTTGATTTTATTTATTGTTTTGTTCTTTTACACACACGGATGATTGCATCTTTCTCTTACAAAATGGAAAACTCTGTTGTAAGAAGCAATTCCAAGAAGGTCGAAAAGTCTGTTAACAATATAAGGAAAATTACTTGGCCCTAGGGCACGTCTGTATGTGAGGAGATAGTGGCTAAAGTCATGAACCTTATTATCATTTACATTTTAAAGGTTCCCAGTTTATTCCTCTACAAACACAATTCAAATGAACAAAGCTATCTTTCTCTGCAAAATCACATTGGTCTGTCATTTCAGCTGACAATTCTCTGTTTAATAAAAGGGAAATGAGATAAGTGGTACCAGCAGCAAGAACACAACCTAAGGGAGTCTGTGTCCGGCTTCAGCAAAGGATACTGAGGAGGAGCAACTGGGAAGGGCAAGGATTCCTGTAGCGGGTGGAAACATACTTGATGATGCCAAGATGCAAATCAGTCATTAAATTCACATCTTAATTTTTAATAAGCAGTGTGATATCTCTGCCCCCAGACAAAATGCAGGCATAATGGACACAAACTTTACAAGGATGATGTGGGCCATACATCTAGCACATTTCCCATAGCCTTCATAGCCCCACAGGGCAGTGGACTCCATTTTGAAATGGTTTCTCCAAAGAAAATAAAGGAGATACAGGTATGTATACTCCTTTACACAATTTTTTTTTTTTAATCAGAGGCATGGGAGACTTTTCCCATATTTGTTTAAATGACAGTTGAAAATGTTCTCCTGACCATTTTACATGTATTCTTCTGTGGGTGATTTGCATTATTTATTTAAAAATATGGTCAAATGGATTAATAAAGTATATTAATTATTATTATTATTCTAGAGACAGAACCTCACTCTGTCACCTGGCTGGAGTGCAGTGGTGCAATCACAGCTCACTGCAACCTGGAACTCCTGGGTTCAAGTAATCTTTCCTGCCTCGGGGCCTCCTGAGTAGCTGGGACTACAGGCATGCACCACCACGTCTGGCTAATTGTGTTCGCTTGTTTTGGTTTTTTTTTTTTTTTTTTTAGTAGAAATAGGGTCTCACTATGTTGCCTCAAGCAATCCTCCTGCCTCAGCCTCCCAAGTGCCCCAAATTATAGGCATGGGTCATAGTGCCTGGCCTAAAGTGTATTAATTATTAAGAAACAGAGAATTCATTTATGATATACATTCAATGTGTACAATTGCATACTTGAAAAAATGAGGACCAGGGTATTTACCTCTAATTATCTTTAAAATATACACAGTGGCCACTGGTAAATGTGTAGTGATTTTTAAGGTGAGTTCTTAAATGTTCTATGATTTGTATGAGATTGAACAAATGTATCTATTTTGCAGACATTTATTGATAAAGACAGGAATCCAACGCAGCCTGTGAAGAATAAACCTTCGACAGTAACCACTACAATTTCTTGCTACGTGCATTTTCTGTGAAAGATCTAATCCAAAGTCTTTCATGTCATTGAGTTCAACATGCCATGTGTATTGTAGCTGTGTGTGTGTGTGTGTAATTTTTAAAGCCCTTAAATTTAAATTTATTTCATATTTCAGAAAGGACACCATCAATGTAGAGTGTAATAAGGTTGCATGAATGCTTTATCAGACCTCAAAATATACCAACAGTAAGTTCAAAAAAATGTTGGTTTTTTTCCTAATTCAATCTTATAAACTACTGACTGCATATCCTCCTCACAACTTTAAAAACACAACACAACTTAAATTTACTGTTTTTGATTCAAGTATTTTAATATTTCACATTGTTTTATTGTAGTCTAGAAATTCAGACTTTGGGATATTGACCAAGACAGATGATATATGGAAGTATTAGTGCTAGTTAGAATGCTTTCAGAAGAGCATATAGATATTGATTTGTCAAAAACAGCAATTATAACCAAAATTAAATAAGCAAGAAAACCCTGCAAATTTTTGTCAATTGTGCCCTCAAAAATAGGATTATTTTCAACCATGACATGAAAATGTCTCCAGAGAATTCATCCATTATTAGTCAGAGTTTATGTTAAAGATTGAGATGCAAATAATTATGAATATCAATAAAGATATTGTATTTTTGTATATCCAGTGAGAGTTGTGTCCTCTGCCTTTGTAAGAGAAGAACATCTTCAAGGTCTCGTGCCTTCTCTGGCCATCCCATTATTCCATCTTTAATAAATCATCACAATTTCTTTAAAAAATTGGGGGCAAATTTTGACCTTTGATTCTCAAGCTTTGAATTGGATATTTTCTTGGCCTTCCCTTCGTATTACCTGTACTAGGTAAACTTACATTCAAAACAACCACAAAAATAATTCTGCTTATTTCTCCATGGAAATTAAGTGTGGTATTATAAATATAAACCTGGTTCATAGACTGATAAAGAGGTTCCAGTGATTTTTGAGTCTCAGTGAGATAGAATTACAGCTGTTAACTTTATAAAGAGCTGTGTTGAAGTGATTGAATGACAAGTGACCAGGTAAAGTCTGAGTTAGGATGACTGGATAACAAGATTATCAATTTAGAAGGGAAATCAAAGATGAACTAGATCACCCACCTTATTTGACAGATGAGGTCATGAAGATATTCTTATGTAATATAGATATGTTAGAAGCGTTCACAAAGACAACTTTCAATATAAAGATTTTCTAATTCATTTCCAACACTAAGATAGTTTGCTATCACACAATGAATTCTTTCTCATAGGCAACAATACACGTGCAATCAATACAGGTATTTGTGACAAAAATTATGGAAGTCCTAGAAACCTGTTCTCTATTTTTACCAAGATTGTATCTGGTCACCCCTGCTATTATCTTTCACTGGGATATCCAACATTAGCACTTAGTAACCCCTTTCACTACACACACACACACACACACACACACACTGTTATTACTAGAGTTCAGTGGGTACTGGAAGTCAAAGGTACATCTTTAGGTACCTTGGGGAGAAATCACTGTTAAATTTGTAAAAAAAAAAAAAAATACATTGGAGACCAATACACACTATAGGGACAACAATCATTCACATACATCATTTAATTTTCATTTCTAAGAGATAATCTAGTAGAGAGTTTATTCTATGATCTTGTGGCTTTTCCAATCCAAGGCTATTTCTGCTTGACTAAGAAAGAGAAAGAACTCAAAATGCCTGTATGAACAAAATGTTACCAAGCTGGCTTGTCTCTAAATGCTTTGATTTCATTGGCATTCCATGAGGCAATCATTTTAATATTTGCCAAATTAAGCAAAAATAAAGCTACTAAAATAAACACACAAATGTAATAGATGTGTGTAGGAAGTTCACAGTAGAAAACAGATTAATATAAGAGAACAATGTGGATCCTAAGGAGTGATTTTTCTTCCTTTACCTTCACTATTTCTTTAAAAGGGAAAGAAAGAATGACAAAGGAAGAGATAAAGCTTATTTAAAGGCTTCATTTCCCAGGGCATATTGGGATGCATTTAAAATTGAGAACAGCCCAGAAACCTTGTGCTGGTTTTGCCTAGATGAGTACTGAATTTCTAAAGACGAGAGTACAAACACAGTATAGACATGCTATCAATTGAAAACACTGAATCTATACAATTGAATAATAATAAAAAAGTATTCTTTATATATAAAATGTCTCCCGGGTACCAAAAGGTCAAATAAAAATCCCACCCTCCTGCTATGTTCCTAAGTTTACTTTATACTTATTTGAGAAATGTCTCACAGCACTTGTCTCAGTGTGATATTTCTGGTTTGTAGGGCTGGAATCAGAAGGACCACCATTCCTCCCCCATCAACACGCACACGTATGCACACTCAGTCAGGGAATCATGGTTTTCTATAGCACCATGCTGCAGGACAGGTGTGGACGACTGCAGCACACGCAAACATATTCTGGTAGTGACCCGGCTACTGATGCCTTAGCCATGGGCACTGGAGGCCCCTCTCAAATTGTAGCTGTCATTGGATCCATGAGCCAGTGGGCATTCTCTCGAAGTCTGCTGGCCCTTCTGTTCTCTTTTTGGTAGGTCTGATATGTTATTATAATCAAAACAGATTAATTTGTGAAGTCCTATAAATAGCACTTTCCTCCTCCAGAGGACCTTGCTATTGCTACTTAGAAGAATGTAAATTATGAAGGTGTGATAAATTTACAAATATTTAGTCCTTAACCCCTAACAAGGTAGATATCAGACCAGAGTGTAAAAACATACAGCACTTAATGTACATAGGGAATTCAGGGAGAAAATTTTGATGTTCATTTTCCAACATCATTTCTATTTTTTCTTCTTACCATTAGATTGGTCACATATTTTGAACAACAGCATTCTACAGTAGTCACTGGCAAATTAGAAATAACATATGCTTTATAAAAAAAAACAACACACACCAGAACATGATTTAAAGTAAAAAATAATGGTAGCAATCATTTGCCAGTAAATAATGAATGTGTAGTCTATTTAATTACATATTTCCAAATATGTATTCACATAATAAAGACAAGAAAAATAAAGCAAAATCAAAGATGGTTTGTAGAAATAAGCACTTCCCTACAGGCACATGAGCTTGAAGGACAAAGTACTGATGGCTCTGGGTGTTGTCTTAGATTAACTTTGAATGTCTTGATGCCTTCAGCACTAGTCAGCTAGTACCCAAAGAGGTGCATTTGGAGTCTGGACACTTCACATGAGAGCATCATATTTCAAAAGGAGACAAATGACCGCTGAAAATAATCATTAATATTTGCTCTTTACGGAGGACTTTGTCTTGACTATCAATTAAGGATGTAACTGTATCTCTAAACTTATTTAAGACTGCCAGTGGATGTACCTGATATTCATGCTTTTTAGAATACATTGTGGGGGTGGGGGGGGTTAACAATCACATAATATATGGTTGTACTTCATTTCTTCTTAAATCAAGGGTTAGTTAGATCAAGACTCAAGTTTCATTGACAATCTTAATGTTTTCAGTGTAAAATAATATACAAAAATAACTGCAGTGAGTCACAGAGCATATATCCTCCTATTAGTGAATTCTCAATAGATCCTTTAGATAAGCAACAGCTAACATCTTAGTATAAAAATCAAAAACAAAGTTGACTTCAACAGACTAGTGAAGGCTTCTAGTTGTTTGGCAATTGTGATAAATTTCAACACAGTAATACACTGGATACTCAACTAATGGGGCTCTTATACACCTGTCAATTAAGATCATATTTCTAGAATTTTCCCAAAGATAAAATATTTTTAAATAAGAACATAGAGGATCTAGACACTAAAAAATTTTAAATAACTTTTTAAAATTCAAACAATATGACCTCCATATTAAGAACAAGACAGAACCATAATGGGACAACTAATAAATGTCATACAACTTTTTGTTATTTCTACCAACGTGTTTTCAACATTTGAGACCTTGAATTTCTATTAAGCAATTCTGATAAACACATAATGTTCTTTCTTTACCTTGGATGGCATTATGTCTATTATGAACAAATGTTCTCAAAGAGCAATGTTCAATGTATTTGCAACATAGACAACTTAACCTGAAATAAAAACTGTACATATTCACTGCCTGATTCAGAAATAGTTACATTCCCTTTCCATGGAATGTGAGTCTTCCACAAAGAAATTTAAACCAAAGTTTCCCCAAACTGCAGTAAAAGAAATCTTTTATATACTTTCAAATACTGTGCCTTTTTATTTAAAACAGTGTAAACATAACAACTCAACACCACCAATAATTGGAAGAAGACTGGGTATGTGAACACTAATTTCCTTGGATGCCCATGAAAGTGAGGGTAAATAAACAGACAGATCTTCAGGAGAGGTTTCAGTTCACCTTAGCAGTGGTAAAAATATTGCTTTATTCCAAATGAACATACAACACAATTTACTGTTCTTTGGGGGGCTTCTTGTGAACTGAATAGTCTGGGCTTTGTGGTTTCAACAATTTATTCTCCCCATATTAACTACAGAAGCCGATGCCTTGGTCCACAAGTGGTAGACTTGCTATAAAATAAATAGTAATGAGGATGATGAGAAAGCAAATGGCAACTGTCAATTTGTTAATTGCCTTGTGTAAATAATTTAAATAGGTATGACTCAAAGCAAACACACATCCTCAATTAACTTGCCTTGTGATGCTGATCTCATTAATGAGCCAATAGTTATTCCTCTCAAAAGTACTCACATCAGAAAATGGTCTAGACATTATCAAGAGTTTTAGAGGACCCCACCATGCAAGTGACCTTGATTTAAGAACTTATTGAACTTTATACGTAATGGAAAAATTTTAAGTGAACAGATCTAAGAGGGAATTTCTTTTCTGAATACTATTAGTAGATTCCCTGATGTTTCAGAACAAATTTTAGCAAGCTTAATACGCACACACATGCACACACACGCACAATGAACACATGTGCACACAGCATATGTGCTCGAGTGAGCAGGCCCACACACACGCACACTCGCACACGCACGTGCACATGGGCACACACAAACTGAGAAAGGCTCCATCAGAGCCTCTGAACAATCTCGAGGAAAAACATTTCCATTAGCATGATTTTAGTGACACGACACTGTGATTTTTTTGTCTCTTTTTTCTGTAATAATTTCATACCTCCCTCTGAGATTCTGTGCTTTCAAATTTCAGAGGAAGATGGCACACAAGAATAGTTAAGATTGCCCCCCGATCACCCCCTCTATCTCCTGTCCCCCTTCCTGTTTCAGAGTCTTTGTGCCATTCTTCGAAAATCAAATGGAAAACACTACATTTGCTGACATGACGTAACCTGTGATGAGGCTATTGGGTGAATAGAAATTTAGGGGCTGGGATTGGCAAGCCGAATGGCAAGGGCCACTTGCTCACTGGCGCATCCACCCTCCAGATACAGCTCTTGTCTTTGAAACCAGGTAACTGCCAGTGCTTTGTGATGAAGACACTGGCATTGTGGGACCAAGGTTCAGAATCGCCCACATCTAAGAGCCAAAGAGGGCAGTGTTGGGACTAACTGAAATTGGATTCAGAATTCTACCCAAAAGCTTCAGTGGTGAGCTTTATCCCTCCTGAAACGTTTCTTTCCCTTTAAAAAAATATTTTGTTAAAAAACACTATGATATGAGGGCGATAGACTATTTGGTTTCTTCTAAGTAGATGCTCTTAAATTAATGCATATAAATAATTTGTATTTAATTTCCTTTCTTTCCTGTTGAGCAAAGCATAGAATGCACAGATTCCTACATGTCAAGTCACTTGGTCAGTGCAGAGTCTCTTTGTATTTCATTTCTTAAGACAAATTGTGCCTCTCGTTCTGATTTGGCCGTGGGACTCAGGGGGAGAAAGGCTGTGTTTTCACTCGCACTGTCCTCGGTTTCTACGCTGGCCAGTTCGTAGTCTTCTGACCTCCTGGCATCAGTCAGAATTCGGATCTGCTCCTGGACAGTTTCTAGCAATATTTTCACTTCTTGTTGTTCTGCTATAAGACAATCGCTGACTGGGATACTCACGTTGACAATGTCAGCAGAGTAGGTGTTTTTGCACCATTTGATGCTTTTGACTTCAGAAATCCCTGGCATTTGCATGCAGGTTTCCTCTAGACCCACTGAAGGGATGATGGGCACAGAACTGGCCCTTGTGGATGAATATCCCACTAGGTCCTTTTGCTCCAGGCTATTAAAATAGGGGTTTGTCTCTCGTGAAGGCAGTTGCATATTTATTGATGCATTCTGTTGGGTTTTTAAACCATTAGATGAATACCTGAAAAAGAAACAAAATGTTACACATACTTTCTGCTGTGCTTTTGTGAGAGCAATATTCAATCCACAAAGCACTTTCCACATGCACCATCTCACTGAATTCTCACAGCAACCCCATGAGACGGATACTATGTTCCCAGTTAAACAAAGAAGTAAACTGAAGCTCAGATAGGTGAAGTGACTTGCCCAAGGTCACACAGAAAATAAGTGACAGACTGAGACTCAAACCCAGATCTTCTTACTTTAAGTCCAGGGGTCTTTCAACACACCACAGCTGTATAGGCAGGTGGGATATAGTCTTCCTGACCTCTATCCTAGAATACAAAGTAAATGGGGGTTGAGCAGGTAAGTGTGGCCCTTCCATAGTGACGCACAGGAAATCCATAATGGCATTACTCCACTCCATCAACTCAACCACCCCCTCAGCCCTGGGTTAGTCCAGTGGACTCGTGGCCAACTTAGTTGAAACCCAATATTAAGCATCGGGGGCCTACAGTCCTGAGATTTTGCTTCATGCTGATTTTAGGGGATCCAGATCCAATTCCCACTGGCACTCTGCTCTACAGAACACTCTTTGCCTGATTGCTGAGCCTCAAGATGGGAATGGCAGGTTGCGATTCCTTTGCCTGCCCAGGAATGAATATAAGGCTCCACGGGGCCTCTATCAGTCTAGTGGCTTTCCGTATACAGTTCTGGAAGCCCAGGAGGGCAGGCTGCATTGGCACATGGCACGGGCTTGTCAAGAACGCCAGTGTGCCAGCGCACGTAAGGGCAAGATGCCACAACCTGGCCAGGCTTCTTGCCTGAGCAGGGCTGGTAAATCTTCCTCTGAGCTTTCCAGTGACAGAAAGTGGGACCAATATACGGTAGAATCATAGAAATAGGTTTTTGGAACTTGACCAGTAGTTTTTGAATTCCATTTTCTCAGTTATTTTTCCTTTATTTAAACATTAAATTAAACATTAAAATGTCTACACAATTTAAATATATTAACCCACCACATAATGAATCTCATTTCCTTGACTTACATTATAATGTAACTAAAAATTGTGTTTATACATGTGGATAATAATTGCGATGAAGTGTGTTGCATACTAAATAGAAGTCTGCACTGGAAGGATATGATGGAAACATTTTAGAGGTCTGTCTTTCCATCAGACAGTGATCAATGATAAGGAACAGACTTAGCTCTTTGCAGTTCTACCCACTCTTACTGTGCCTGATACAGAGTTGGCAATCGATAAACTGATTGAATGAACACATGAACATAAAAACAAATCTTCAAGGTAAATGCTCCCTTTATATCCCAGTTAATATCCATTTTTAAAAATAATAACAACAGCGAACATCTGCATAGGGCTTTTAGAAATCATTTTGACCTCCAATTACCTTATTTTATTTTTAAAGACCTTGCAGTTTATTTATTATTATTGCTGTGCAATGGATGAGTAAACTAGACTAAGAAGCACCCAAATGACTTGCCCCAAATTACACATTTAGTAGGTGGCAGGGGAAGAATTGAAACCCAAATGGTCTTATTCTAGTTACTATCAAAGTCAGAGGCTGCTAATGAACAGATACCCTAAGGTGAACCAGGACACCTTTTGGGGGATATATAATATTTACTCAAACAAAGTGTACAGTCATGTATTTGGAAATTCCCTGGGGGCTCTTACTCCTTTCACTTCAGTGTTATATGACTGAAAATCTGAGCCTATAGGTTTTGATCATTGAATCAATTTCAACAAGAAGAAAGGGAACAAATTTCAGGCTCTTGTGTTTTGTCCTCAGCACTATCTTGCTAGCATCGTTAGTGTGTATGGAGATATAGAAAGTTTGCCTACCAGTTCAGAGGGATCAGAACCAAGAAATACGGCTCAGATAAAATCATATTTCACATGTATATAATTAGGGTGTATCAGTAGGTGGAATCGAATAACTTGAAATACGATGGTGATAGGTACAAATTCTTACATCAGGATCTAAACACTATTTGTAAAAATGTTGCATAAATGGATAAATACCTTAGAGGATGTTTTTAAAATGTAAATTCAAAAAGCCAACAACGTGGCATGGCTAAGACATTATCAAAGGCAATTCGTACCAAAGCTGGAGCATTCCTGTAATATGCCTGAGTGCGGAATTAAGGACTTAGATGAGAAAGTGGAATTGCAGTTGATGATTATGTGTCACTTCCCAAGCCTGGTATTTAACACATGGTTGGCAATAACTGAAATCTAAAATGTTACCGCGATATAAAGATGGGTTTTAAACAATGAGACCTCTCCAATATGTGATTTTGCTTTGAATCAAACATGATTTCAAGTCCCAACACCATTACACGCTCTGGAATATCAGACAAATGGCAGCCTCCCTTTACTTTTCCCATTCATTAAAATAATCCGCTAGTAATACTTACTTGATTACTCTCTGGGGAGGGGGATTTCTCTGAGGACTAATTGAAATAATGCCTCTGCGCTGTTCTGCCAGAAGCACAATAGTATCCTTACTTCCTCCCTAGAGTTGCTGTGAGTGTCTCAGAACTGGTATTCTAGTAGAAGCTTAAATGGGTGCTAAATTTCTAGATGTGATTTTTAGTTAAAAGACATTCAAAGTTCTGCAACCCGTTAGAGTCAATGATTCTTCCGTAAGTTGGAGCCATGAGCTTGCCATTCCAGTTCAGATTGCCTTTCCTCTCATCCCTCAACAAAGAAATCACAAATGCATTTTGCCTATAACTATGTGAGTCAAAGCATCCTTTCAAAAAAGAAAGATTCCAACAATTAATTAGTCACTTTGGTTTGGATCCTAGTAATTCATGGATCAAGCTAAGGAATGTCTGTTTCTCTAGAGGACTCCAAGACTCAGTTCCAGGGACATATGGCAGTGAATGGCTGGACAAATTGAAGGAATCCACTTTTCTCCCTGGAGCCATACAATTAAATATTCTGTTTACTAGCCATCAGCCATGAATGTGATTTTCTTCATATCCCTTTTTATGATTTAGTTGTTTACATAGTCAGAAAGGCCAGTATTCCATTTCAGCTCTTTTACATGGGACAGTATATGTCCTCATGAGCTAGCCTTCTAAACTCTACTATCCTTAGTGTATTCATCTGTAAAATTTTTAAATAGCTGAAGTGAAATATATAAAGTTATTAGCCAGGTGTGGTAGGTACTCAGTATATTTTCCATCCCTTCTACTTTTAAGATGTGAATCTAACTTTTGTGATTCCATTTCTTTCTGTCTAGCACATGAAAACGCTATTATGCTTTGTTGTGTCTGACATAAGCCAGGATCAAAGCTCTGTGGGCCATTATCAACGTTGTCACTGACCAGGGCTCTGACTGGGGAAAGGTTCCTCAAGAATCTCCTCTCTACCTCACTCCTTCTCCAGACTACAAGAAGATAGGTGCTGGGTTCAAGCTGGGCTGAAGTTCATGCCAAGAAGACAGGCGCCATACACAGGGAGCCTAACTGTGGCAGACAGGGTCCACATACTTGGTAAACAAGGAGCAGACGGCTGATGCCTCTTGCAAATTCATTCCCTCCCCCTCCAGGCTAGGGCCAGATTTGAAGAGGGCCTTTAGCTGTGAAATTCTATTACCTATCCCATTTCCAGTCCAGAGAGACAGTTAGTCTCCCGGGAGTGGAAAATAGCTGTTTTCAAAAACTGAGAATGAGATTGCTCCCTGAGATTCATTGTGCTGAGCACAGAGAGACTTATGCTTAGAGTCACCATTCATCAACATTAGGTCCACATCACACACTGGGAAATACCTGTGGCCACCCAGCTGGAGAGAATATTCCCAACCCAATGGTGACTGAGCCAAAACACATCCACTACCATGCAGACAATAAGTGTGAGTATCCCAGGAGTTTTCAAGCATTGCCTGAACATGCAATGAGAACTCTGAGGCCCTAAGATATATATGCATGTATGGCCTGAGCCTGGCACAGGCTCAGAGAATCCTTGCAGCCACAACACATGGAATGACAGCCATAACAGTGCCCCCCACAGAAGGAAGGCCACCAAGGGTGGGCTGTTCTGTGCACTCACAAAATCTGTGAAGTTGATTTCCCCTTACTACTCATTCTCCTCCTAACATTCACCCTGAGAATTTTATATATTCATATATAGAGAACACAGAGAGAGAGAAAGAGAGAGTGTGTGCCATACTTCTAAGAGGTATCATTAGTAATTTGTAAAGAAAAGTCAGTATGAAACATGATTAGTTATAATTTTAAGCTAAATAAGAGCCCCTTTTCCAGAGATAAGGCCAAGAGAAATGCAAACTGCTTCTTGACTTGAATTATACATTTTGGACAACTTGGCTGTTATGGTGAATTTGCAACTGTCACCCTAAATCTGTACTAAATGCCTTTTACAGTCCATTTGGAATTGCTTCAAAATTACAAAACCTAGCCACAGGCCATTTATTTCCTATCTTTTGGTCTTTCTAAAGAAATCTGTTGCTGAGCTTTGTTAGACAGGGCACTGCTCCATGTATCTCATGCCCAGAAAAGAGAGAGGTAAGGCTCTGTGCTAGACCTCCCATCTGTTTTGGTCTTTAGCCTGATACAGACAGTATGGAAAAATCACTCAGGCCAAAGCAGCATAGAGACCTGGCTCGGTGCATTCAGAGAGAGAAAAACTAGAGCAACAAGAACTTGGCTTGAGTGAGGAAACTGATTCCTGAAATTTCTGGAGTAAACCCTGTTTGCATTGCTCTTGAAATTAATGATAACATTATGACAATTACTGTGACAAAAAAAAAAAAAATACCAGTACTACTTCTCTGCTTTACTTTGTGAGAGGTAAAAGCTCTTTATACATACAACTTTGTAAAATCTGCCCAATAGTCCTCAGGGGGCTGGTATTATTTTGCTCAATTTATAGATGAGAAAACTTAAGCTCATGATAAAATTTTCTCAACCTTGCATGAGTAGTAATGGGCAGAAATAGGACTTGAACTCCTGGTTAAAGTAAGTTTAAGTACGAGCCGCCATGTTTGGTTGGGTGGCTTATGCCAAGCATGTGAATGAGGGCTTCTGTGCACCAGAAGAAGCACTGTGAGGAGCAGCAGCCGTGGTTGCCATGCCCACCCTTCCTCCCCAGTACTGGGATGTCATTCTCTCAACATTGACCTAAATTCCACACTCAAGCTCAGTGGACACAGACATTGTGTGTGTTATAGGTTATTGTTTAGGACATTTTCCACAATACTGATTAGAGAATTAAGTCATTCCATTTTTCTAACCTACAGATAAAGGAACACTTTAGTCCTCCTAAGAAACAGGTATTAGTATTATTTTTAAATCCAAAACAAATTCCCAGTTGTTTTAGCAATGATGTAATGACATATTTCCTAGATATCTACAATACATTTACTTTCTTCCTAGTGTTATATTTTTTTCACTATGACGTTTCCCTAGTGCCTATATCCACTATACCCATTCTTTTAAGTTGGTTCACCTTTTGTGGAATAAAGATGGTGGTAGGTACCAATAACCAATTAATAAGGAAATCAGTGAATAAAACCCCCAAAACTTTACAACTTAACTTAAAGCTACGGCATTAAAAACACCCTCCCTAAGCAATTCCATTGCTTTTAAGACCTACCCTTGGCAAGGTATCGTATCCTGGTCTGGGATCCTTGATTCTTCAAGTTGCTGATATGCTGGTCCCACGATTCCACCCAGCCTACTCCGGGGCGAGGGGGGTGTCCTCCTGAAGGCATTCCTGTGGAGCATTCCACTCCTTTGCCCTGGGCTACAGCAAGAGGAGAGACTCCTGCTGGCGTGGGGGAGGAAAAAAAGAGAGATCATAGCAATAGCCTCATGGGTGGCTGCCCAAACTTCACAACCCTGCATTAGCACCTCAGATCTCAGAGTTCAGGCCAGGGGCCAGCCATGGGTGTCATATATGTGCCGGGAGTGCAGCAGGAGTTACCCAATCCACTTTACTCTTGGAGACAGAGACAAAGAGAACTTCTTGTGTTTCTGGCTTTCCAGTTTAGAGCACAAAGGATGAGAATAATCCCAGCTTTCCAGAGATAAGAGGTGCGCTGAAGGAATTCTCCCACTCCAGACTCCCATCCACCCTGATTATCCAAGGCGCTGTAGCTGTCTCTAATAGAAATAAAAATGGCCTTCTTATTAGACACTGACAAGATAGAAACACAGGAAGCCCAGAAGGGATTTCTGGAGAAATTTTCACATGTTGGTGATAGAATAAACAAACCTTATTTTAATTGGCATTCTCTCCTTAACATATGTGTTAAATTCCCAGTTCACTGCCTCGGATTTTCATCAGTCTTGAGAAACTATTTTTCTTTTGAGTTTGCTTTTGATAAACATCTGATTATATATTTTATTTGACTCATACTTCCAAATTCTCAAATATTCATATGTTTATAGATGCTATCAAGGGCAGAAGGCATGAGTGGGTTCTATCACAGTCCTTAACAAAGTGAGAACTCCTACATCAATTATATACAAAAAAAGAACTAGGTGCTGTTAAAATTAACTGCCAACTTGATTCATTACCTATTCCACATCCATTCTCATCTCCACCCGACTCAATTTACCCTCCTGCAGACTGGTGACGGGCACTTTGTTCATGTGTAGACACATTCCATGAGATACTGGATTATGTGGTGAAACTGATTCTGCAGTGTTTAGATTCTCATTTAACTTTGAAAATATTTGTATAACACTATAGAAAAAGATTTTTAAAATCTTCCAAATTTCAATCAATCTTTTAAGTTCTCCCAAAGGAATTTTATCCATATCACTATATTATTTGGAGTCCTGTCACTTTTCTTTCATTAACATTTAAGTTATTTCCACTTAATAAACACAAAATAAAATGTTAGAAATATTATTAAAGGTCAGAGTTTGAGAATGTGACCTTTAAGTGCTAGTGGCCACTTTCCTGGTTTTGGCAATGTGACCGATCAAACTTTTATATTCCTTGGGTCAGTGTTAACTTCCTAGATTTGTACAAACATGAGATCATATCTGGCCACATTATTACATCCTCATTCATTATCATGGTGCCTGTTGCATGACTTGTCCCCAAATGCCTAACAACAGGGAAATCTAGTTAGGTCATTAAGTCCACAAGTATCAGGAGCTAATTTGTTTCCTTTTCTTCCTACTTCTATCTGCCATCCAAGGGCAATGGTGGAGACTACACGGTATGGAGACTTGGGCGCTAGAGTTCAGTGCATCTGGGTGTTTAAGTCTCAGGTCTGTGCAGTACCAGAAGCCTGATACTTGGGGAGGTACTTGTACCGGTCAGAGTCCTGAAGGGAGACAGATGGCACTTTAAATTGTGTCATTTGAGGAGATTCTACAAAGGTGTGTCCAGTGTTTGAGAGGAAAGAGAAGAGGGATACTATTGTACTTCAGGGCTGGTAACAACAGGAAGCTGTTGTCATCCCTCTGACTGAAAAGACAAGGAGAGGGAGCAGCTAGGAGAACAGAGAGAAGGCAAGCTGTAAGGAGGAGGCCACCTGGCAGGCTCTGTGGTCCCTGGAAGAGGGACTCCACTGAGGCATCAAGTGGGGATGGAGGGGGCAGACATGCCATGACCTCACTCTCTTCCTGCCCTCCCAGCTCTTGTTTGTTACTCATATGAACCAACAGAAACCAGAGACAGGGGAATCTGCAGCCCTCCTGTTGCACAGGGCAGGACAAGAAAAGGTAGAGACTAGATGGCAGGGCACGAGGGGACTGGAAAAGGAAGACATCAGCATCATACTTAAGAATGTTTGTAGGATTGCTATGGAAATTAAAAGAGAGAAATAAGCAAAATGTCATGTGGAGTCTAGCTCATAGTAGGTGCTCAACACGATGAGTTCACCTACTTCCTCTGCCATAACTGACACTTCAAAGGATGATCCTAATCACTGGACTTATTTCACTGTTAAAAAAAAAAAAAAACCCTCACATATGTGCTTTTAATAAATGAGCTATATTGCCAAAATATAATGCAGTAAATAGGACATGCCATGATAGATTTATTTTTTAAACAGATGGAGGATTTTTTTAAACTAAACCTTAGAAATAATGACTTTGAATTAATAGCTTTGTTTCATAATTGAGTTATCTAAATGACTCATATTTGCAGTGTACACAAAGAAATTAATTATTCATAGCTCGCTAAACCGTCACAACCATGAAGTCTATCAACATGAACAAGTGACCTGTCTTAAAAAAACTGTTCTTTACCTATTGATCAATCAACTATTCAAGTGTTCTAACCCAGTGGCATTCAGGAAGTTATGGTGCAGTTTGCAGGATATATAAATCAGTGCCTTGGTTATCAATCATGAAAACGTTTAAGTCCATTGCATGTTTTACAAAACAAAAGCTATAATATATTAAGCTATAATTTACAAAGTTCTGAAAGCACTTTATAAGTCAATTTTTGTCTATGTACCAGGATGCAGTGCAAGTCAACACATACTGCAATGTCATTGAATCAAACAAAAAGGAAGGTCTCTTAAAGACAACCTTATTTAATTTGTGAGTGGCTCCTAGAAACCATAGTAGAAGCCAAGTTTAGGAGAGGAGGGAGCATATAAACAGATAAGAAATTGGAATAGAGGTACTGGGGCTTAAACATATTAGAAGCCATAATTTTAAAAAAATCTCTCAACTTTAAAACATTTACAGCATAATATAGTTAATATAGTAATAGAGTAATATTATATTGAATTATTTCACTTGACAAGGTGGAATGCTACTTCAACACGTGTTATAATGAGCAGGTGGGAAATACTGTTTTGGAGAAAATATGTGTCTTCTAAAAGGCTGGTAATTTTGGACTTATTTCTCTAATTAAAACAATTTCCATTAGGTCCAGAGAAATAAAATGCTCTGTAAAAATGCTGTAAATGTAGCAATTGATACAAACCAAACCTTGCACAAAAGAACTAAAGCAATTATCCAAGAGACAAACATATTTCAAACCCAAGTTGAAGATATTTAAACCATTTTTTTTTTAAAATTGGCAAACCCTTGGAGTCTTGCTGTCTTAGTCTCTACTCATGTAGAATAAGAATAAAAATCATCATCAAGTGCTGAGGATTGGTGTCAAGAGTGGCCAAAAATCTCAAAGTAAATGGGGCCGGGAACAATAAAATCCTTTCCTTGTGTCTCATTAAGAAGCAAGGGCGAAGGTAGCTTTCTTTCATAATGTATGTTTCGGCACAGTGGTATGCAACGTTTTGCCCAGTATGTGAAAACAAATGGTCAACAACATTTATCTTTCACTGCTAGAAGCAACAGTTATTATTTACCTTTTCCTTTTTAAAATTTTATTTTTTTATATAATTATTTTTTAAATACTGTACTTCTCACTAAGAAAAGGGAGTTTAAATCTCTGGACAATTTCCACAAAGATTGAGGATATATATTTGGACACACATAAACTTCTAGCATTAGTCCTAAACTTCACTACTTGGTTTAGAACAAATTCCTTCAATATTTGTAGTCCTTCATTCCTCAAGTGTAAAACACAAAAGTGTGAACTAGTAGATGCTGAAGGACATGTTTCAGCTTTAGAAGGCTATGAAATGTATCAAATAACTTTATTTTTTGGCTTTCTCTCCAAAAGAGCCAGTTTATGGGGCCAGCTTAGAAGAAAGTACAACCCCATTGGTAACAGAAGGTCTTACAGCCCCAAGGAGATTTGCCAGGCTTCTTCCCCCTGGAAAGTTTCTTTTCATAAGAACCATGTTGGAAGACCTGGAGCCCATCACATCAAGTACCTAGGGAAGTCATTCACTTTGCATACTAGGAAAAAATAATGTTTTTAGTGTTTTTTCAGATTGCAATCATCTCTTTCATTGGTGTGTGTCTGTAGCTTTGATGGGTATTGTCAAGAGTTCCGGCAGGCCCTTAGGGAAGCAGTGCTGCCTGCTAGGGAAGCTGGTTATCTTGGTTTACCTGATGAGAGCTGCTTGAGTATCTACTCCATGGAGAACTACAGGATAAGCAAGAGCAATCATCTCTCCTGAGTAACGCTGCCATTCCTCGGCATGGGCTGTCCAGCATATACACGGTGTGACCACGCCCACTCCCACCATGATTAGCTACCTGTACCTGTGGTGTTTGACAGATTGGCTTCCTCTGTCAGGAGAAGGGACCTCGGGGAATGACTGGGGGCCGACAAAACTTGACTCCATCATTTTCTCCAATGCAGTCACAGGATGCCTTTCCGCCTTTGAGTACTGTGGGAAATCACATGCACAGAGTTGAGCTGGAGGACGCTATGAGAGGAGGGCCTTATTATAATACCATAGTGAAGCATTGAGAAGGTGCTGGAATGGCAGCTTCCGCTAGGCACCTGATCAGGAGGGTGGGAGAGACATCATTTGCACCCATTTCTCTCGCACTGGGTACCCCCCACCCCCTGCAGTCTTCTCTGTCATTAGATAAGGTCCAGTCAAAAGGCCTCTTCCCTTCAGAATCGAGTCTGTCATCTGGTTTCAGTCTACACCCATGGCACACTGGGCCTGACCGCCAAAAAGCAGTTCCAAACGTGCTAAATTCAATGTACATTTTCTTTAAAAAAAAAAAAAAAGAAGTTGAATAAGTAGCTAGGTTACTAATAATAGAGTTTCAGTAGATACTGGGTGAATGAACCTCATAATATTCTGAGAATTATAGAGGACATCGATTCAGAATATCTGCCCACCACGGTCCAATGCTTCTCCCTTTCAGCCTCACAGGTAATTACCATGTCTAACAGGAGAAATTTGTGAGCATTTCACTCTTTATAGTTCCTAAGCCTCGGTTTCACCTTTGACTATAATATTTACTACCTCATAGGGCACAGAAGGCTTAGCAAGCTTATAGAGCTGACACCTTAAGGAAAAACTTCGCCTAAAAGGAACTATCACGTGGTTTTCAAGAGCCCACAAGTTGTCAATTTTAACACTCCCTGGATAGTTGGCACTTGAATAGGCATCTAGAAACTGCAGGTGAAGACTTTCTTTGGAAACGGCATTTTTGGAATACTAACCAAACTAAAAAAGATTTTGGAATCAGGATATTGAATACCCAGTGTTTTATGAAGCTACACATTTTAAGTGTTATCCTGAGCAACTGCAAAACTGTAAAACTCAGTAGACTTTTCTTCACTCCAAAAGCAAAGAAGCTAGTATTAGAGGCACAGAAAAAAAAAAAAAAAGAAAGTAAGTAAAAATAAAGTTAATCAACCTTTTACAATCTCAAATCTATATGATGGGATAATGATATTAATATCTATCTTATAGTATTATTGAAAAAATTAATGAGGCAACACCTCATGCACCCGAATCAGGTAAAAGGAAGATAAAAAACAAGGAATATTACACTTTAAGTTGTTTAAAGAGTCTAAGGATGACTTCTGAAATAAGAACTAAGAAAAGTGTTATAGGCAGAAGAAAAAATGAATCTAAGAGGAAAGAGCAGGATATATTTCATCACAAATTTTTTATAAAAATGTAGGTTTTAGAATTAACACTTGAAAGTAAAGTCCAAAGAATTTCAACATGGCTGGAAGTTAGAGATAAGAAGAAAGAAGAGAAGGGAGAAGCATGATCTTTTATTTCTTTTTTTAGTCCTGGCTGTGGTTGTTGAGAATCAGGAAAGGCTAAAATATGAATGCTGATTAATTTTGAACAGTGATGAACTACATATATACATATGTGTGTTAAAAATTAGCACTAGTACATAAGAAATAAAGAAATATAAAATATAAAAACCATGAATGAGAAAAAACATTATTAATTCAACAAAATTAATATAGAGAGTTGTACCAAGAAAGCATGGCAAATTGGAAATATATATGGCAAGGATAAGTGTGAAACCATTAGTGATGACAATAACTGTGGATGGTTATATCTTAATAATAAAAGACAGAAATTCACACATTAACTTTAACAATCTTCTCATCTATTATCTGAAAGAGCTCATTTTAAAACAACAGAGAAAAAGATCAAATAGAATGGGTAAAGATACATCCTGCAAATTATAGGAATAAAAGGCTTATAACAGTTATTAAATAAAATATAATTTGTACAAAGTACATTTTAAAAGAGAAAAAGATGGCTATTTCATATTAATAGAAGGAACAATCCACCAAGTGATATTCATACATTTTTATCTATCTAATGACATAGCCTCAGAAATACAGAGTAAAACTAAAAGCATTGCCTGAAAACTTTGACAAATTGATGATCATATTGACATATTTATTACTTGTTATAGAGACATGTGTAGCCTTTCAAGTCACAGGGGAAAATATAGAACTCAAGAATAAAGGTACTGGAGCAATTGTTATCCATGAAAATAAAATTGATTTTGTTTTCTATCTTCATAAACAAAAAAAATCAGGTTAATGAAGGAGTTAAATGTAAAAGAAATAAATATATTAGAAAAAATATTGGGGTAATGACCTTAGATATGAAAAACTTTCTCAATAAGTGATAAAAGTTATTAACCATTACAATTTTGATAATTTGACTACATCAGAATTTAAAATGAGTAAGTGTACTAAAAAAGATTTCATAAAATAAAAAGAATTTGTGTGGCAATGAGCATAATTGTGGATTATAAGGTATAATTTTAGGTTAATTTATATGTTTAGATTTTAATAAAGAGAAGATATTAATGAACTATTTGGTTAAAAAAATACATTTAAAAATTTTATAAGATTATATGGGGATATTTATTCATAATCTTAAGGGAGATTACCAGGATGAAACAGCCAGAGACCATAAAGAAAAATATATGTTAAATTTGATTAACTACCAGTTTCATTATTCTAATTATTAATAATAATTATTAAATAACATAATATTATACTATTATAAATAATATAAAATAATATTAACAAGTATTCATACTTGTTAATATTATTTTATATTAATTATTAATAAGTATTAATACTTATTAATAATCCTGATTATTAACCAATCAAAATATAAGTAAAAACCTGGGAAAATGTTGGCTATTCATATGTTAGTTCAGTACTATTCTTAAGTATAAAGGCTTCACAGAAATCGATGGGAAAAAATGAAATGAACAAGAATTTCACAGACAGCTAGACAAATATGCAATATACATATGGGACTGTGTACAACTGCACACATTGTAACAGGTTGATAATCAGCATAGGGAAAATTAAGCTGGGTGTCGTGACGCTCGCCTGTAGTCCCAGCTATTGAGGAGGCTGAAGCAATATGTGAACAGCCACTCCACTCCAGCCTGGGCAACAAAGGGAGACTCTGTCTCTTAAAAAAAAAAAAAAAATATCCCAAGTCTGTGCTGGTCTTAAAAAAAAAAAAAAAATAGAAAAAATTAAATTTCAAGAATATCTAATAAAAGGAAAAATCTGGGAAAAGTAGCATTGGTGCTAATTTGGGGAATGCATTGGCAATATTCTTTAAAATGTTAAATATCCATACTCTTCAATGCAGAATGTTACTTCTGGAATTTTCCATCATTGATATAATTGCAAAAGGTCAAAATGATATAATTCCCAGGGTATATCAGCAGTATAATTTTTAATACCCGAACAAAATAAATAGGAAAGAGAAACAATTGAAAATAATAGAAATGTTCACAAATGAATACTATACAGCTATTAAAAAGAATAAAAGCACAGTCCAAAAAAAGTATGCATATGAATCCATTTGTGTAAATAAGAAAAATGCAATAAATAAATATGCATATATTGTGTATTTTTATATGTATATACATGTATTACCTTTGTGTTTATATACACTTATACAGATTTTATATATACATATACAGATATTTTGTGTGTGTTCATGTGCATCTGTATATTTCTTATGCAACTACTCAGGATCTAGATTTTCAAAAATGTAAGATAAATTAATAACTATTAATTAGTTATTAGTTTGGAGAAAAGAAAATCCATAGGTATACGCTATGGAGACTAGGGAAAATATCGAGTCATATACCCTTAAGTTTAAAAGCTCCAACTAAATGTTTCCGTGTCAAGTGACTTTCAAAATAAGCCACATAGTGGCAGTAATGACCATGTCTTGAACAGGAATCTAAATTCCTCAAAATGGAACTGTAGAAGCTGGTCAGACTTTTTACAAAATGGGGTAAAATGACACAGAACAAAAAGAAGACATGGAGATAATTTAGAAAAAGTGGTTGTTACCAACACCCCCAAATGACAAAGATCCAATAAACAATGGAAATACCTCCATGTGTGCTTCCTTATAATTACAGTTGTGAGTTACAAACCATCCATGGAAGCAGTCAGATGAATGGCCATGTTTACTAAAGTGTAAGCAACATCCTAAACTTCTATCTGACTTACAGATTCTAGAAAAGACACATTAGGTTTTGTTATCTTTTTTTCCCAACTCCTAATAAATTGCTTTAGAAGACAAACTCAGACGCCTAGAAAGCCCAGCTACAAAAACAAGTGAGATGCTCTGACACATCCATGGCAAACTGGAGAAAGCAGTACTCTGTCCACTCAGCAACTGCAGAGACCAACGGGGAAAACATCAGGTAGCTGCCTTGGAGCATGCAGGTTTTCTGGAGAAACTGCTGAGCCATTAAAAGTCAGTAACCCCTTCCTTCCTTCTCTCCTTCCTTCCTTCTCTCCTTCCTTCCTTCTCTCCTTCCTTCCTTCTCTCCTTCCTTCCTTCTCTCCTTCCTTCCTTCCTTCCTTCCTTCCTTCCTTCCTTCCTTCCTTCCTTCCTTCCTTCCTTCCCTTGTTCACATCAAAAAACCTAATTCAGCTTTGAGGCCATTAGTTCACACTCTGTTTTGAATCCTGAGAGATGGAGGTCCTTGTTCAAAGTCCTGAGTAATAGTCATGAGCAGAATCAACCTCTTCCTTGTTCTGCTTATTCATAGTATCCATATAGGTACTTTCTACATCTTTTCTTTCAAGTGTTTAGATTGCTATTATATTATATAGCTGTTTTCATTTGCACTATATTGGTCCATTAATACAAATTTATTTCCATAATTTATTATTTTAGACCTTTTTCCTTTTTCTCACAGCATTTCACTTTAGTGATTGCATTTAACCTGAGAGTCAGGTTTAAATTGCTGGCGTTCCTTTCTAGGGTTGGTTGAGACATGTGGAAACATTTTTTAAAAATCTAATAAATTGTCAATCCTTCCAACTGATATTCCATACATGTTGTTTCAAAATAAATTTACAGATAGCTTCCGGTTTGAGCTCCGACAA